CGGGACACGCACCGCGCGGGACACGCTCCACCCCCCGGGACACGCAGGGACCGGGACACGCCTCGACGGGGGACACGGACACGCCCCGGGACACGCCTCCCCCCGCGGCGCGGCAGAGGGTGTGGCACGTCGCCCCGTATCGCGACATAGTGCGCTGTGTCCCGCGTCATCCCGCGCTATGTCGCTCCGTGCTGTGCCATCCCGCACCGCACCATCCTGCACCGTGTCATCCTGCACTGTGCCATCCCACACCGTGTCATCCTGCACTGCACCATCCCACACTGTGCCATCCTGCACCGTGCCATCCTGCACTGCACCATCCCACACTGTGCCATCCTGCACCGTGCCATCCTGCACTGTGCCATCCCACACTGTGCCATCCTGCACCACGCCATCCTGCACCGTGCCATCCTGCACTGCACCATCCCACACTGTGCCATCCTGCACTGCACCATCCCACACTGTGCCATCCAGCACCACACCATCCTGCACCGTGTCATCCTGCACTGTTCCATCCCACACTGTGCCATCCCACAACATGCCATCCTGCACTGTGCCATCCCTCACCGTGCCATCCTGCACTGCACCATCCCACGCCGTGCCGTGCCATCCCACATTAAGTACATCCCAGAGTCCCGCGGGAATCGGCCGGAGCAGTTGCCAGGGCACTCTCCGTGGCGTTTGGAAGGTCCTGGCACTCGGGGAAGTCGCAGGTGACAGGGAAAGGGAAATATTGTATCCATCTTAATAAAGGGTTTCCACTCCTCTCCAGGAGGACCGTGGGAACTGCACTGCCAGCCTCACCTCCCTGCCTGGATCGTAGATCTTCCTGGAAGCTGTGATGAGGCACATGGAGGACAGGGATGTAAGTCCTGCCCGACCAGCTCAGTGGCCTTTTGTGGTGGAGTGACTCCATCAGAGGACAAGGATCACAGATGTCCTTTATCTGGACTCCTGTAAAGCTTTGTCTCAATCCCACACTACATCCTCTTCATTGGAGAGATGGATTTGATGAGTGGACTATTGGAAGGATAAGAAAACAGTTGGACAATCACATCCAGAGGACAGTGGTCAATGCCTCAGAGTCCTGATGGACATCAGCGACCAATGGTGTCCCCCAGGGGTCCATACTGGGACCAGTGATATTTAATATCTTCATTGACACAAAGGGGTCGAGTTGGCAGGTGAGACCAAGCTGAGTAGTGCAGTGACACACCTGGAGGACAAGGACATCCAGAGGGACCTGGACAAGCTCCAGCTGTGGCCCATGGGAATCTCATGAGGATTAACAAGGCCAAGTGCTGGTGCTGCCCCTGGGTCAGAGCAGCCCCTAGCTGAGAGAATTGGGAAGAGAATTTTTGGGGTGACCTAACTGTGCTCTGAAAGGAACAAGAAATATGGAAATATTTCCAAGGGCCTGGAGGGGCAGGACAAGGGGGAATGGCTTCACACTGCTGCAGAGTAGGGTTGGATGGGATATTGGGAGGACGTTCTTGGCTGTGAGGGTGGTGAGGTGCTGGCACAGGTTGCCCAGAGTGGCTCCGGCTCCTCTATCCCTGGAGCTTTTCCTGTAATTTTTATCTTTTAAAAAATTTAATCTGTAATTATTTCAAGTGTATTTAAACCCCAAAGATATGGATCAAGCCCTGCTGGGGATTTCTCATTCCCAGCCCATGGCTCAGGTGTCCCAAGTGTCATTCCTTCTAGGGAAGGGCGTCCCGTTGGTGCCCACTCCAGTGCAGTGTGGTGATGCAAAGCTGCTCCACTCCATCCCTCCCCTGTTCCTTCCCCATCGCCGTGTCCCTGCTGCCCTCCCACATCCCCCAGGGGAGCGGGACATGGGGAAGCTGAGGCAGGCACTGGCTGTCCTCCCAATGCCATCTGTCCCGAGGGGGAAAACTTGGAGCCTCATCCTGCATCCCACGGCGCTGCGGGGCCTGGCACGTCCGGCAGGGAAGGGGTGCGGGCTGAGGAAATGGGAGAGACCTGGCCGGAGTCCTGCTCTCCTCCTCCCGCGGCCCCACCTCCCCGGCCCGCTTA